GTTTTATGACCACAGGCAGGAGAGGGGTTAGTAAAGAGATTCCTGTGATTAGAGATTCGACATACTTCTCGAGACGGAGTTTACATCGAAACCTTCTACCAAAGCTACCAATCAGCTCAGCCTGTTACGCTTAAATTTCCCACGGCGTCGCGCTGTAACATCGCATTTCTCGGTGTTCGGCATTTGGTCAGGTTGTGCAGGTAGATGCATCTTATGTACGATGTCCTTTGCTGTCAACAGTTACGATGGCCATTGTAGCATTTTGGCGGCCGTCAACTTTTCTCTCTTTCCTTATTGTCAGGAATTGCGACCACTGTATGTCTGTTGTGTTTTCAATAGAGAAGAGACTTGCACAGAAGTGTCTGACTGATCGTCGTCTACGGTGTTTCGATACCCGTCGTCAATTCGTGCCACTGCTTTCTCTGTTGTTCTTCGCTTTGTGACTGCCGCAGTTCGACGGGGTATGCGCTAGAAACGTCATCGTCATCGTCGTCGTTGATATTCGTGTCTGCTTATGCTGTACTCGTCATCGGCGCCGTTGTCGTGTTGGCGCCTCGCCACACCACGCCATGCCGTGCCGTGCCATCTTTGACGCCCCTCTTCTTCTTTCGAAGCATAACCGCCGCGGCGGGCCAAATTATGGCCATTTTTCTCCTTCCCTCAAATATAACTCGTTTCTTTTCAAATTTTAGAAAGTTAAATGATGAGAATTTTCAATTATGACTTTTTCCCTCAACTCTAGATTTTGTGAACGTTTTCTTTAAAAAATCAGGGCTTTTTAATTTAAGAAATTGTTTCATGGTATGAGTGATTTTTCATAAGAATGCGTTTATTTTATTTCTTTTTCCCAACTTTAGGTACGCTTTCGATAGCATCGCAGATTCAGTACACGTGATGCTTTTGTCTTTCGTCCATGTTTTATTCGGTCCACTGTCTGACTTCCCGCCTTTTGCTCACTGCCGACCATTGTCCATTAAACTGTTGGCCAGCAGCAGCTGTGTGTCGATGAACTGATCGATATCGGTCATTTAACGCTATCCCTCTTGTTTCAGAGCGGCGGCGAATTTCGCCAAAGTGGGTTGCAGCTGCGGGGCGCGAGATGCTGCCACTTCGGCCGCACTTCCGATGATACTTCGAGGGAAGCGGAGGGCTACATCATCCTCGTCATCGTCGTCGTCGATGGCCGCAGCTGATCAGTTTCTCGCTGCCGTCGGTACGTCGGCGTCCTCCTTCGAGCCGCACCTGCGGGATTGCCCCTCCGGCCACGACTCGCATCATCTAACTGATTCAACGACGGAAGTTTTGGTCAGCGAGAAAAGGTTTCAGTTGGACGACAGGATATGTCCACCGACAGTGAGTAGCTAACTCGGACTGACCACTGGTCATCGAAACCCATGAAGAAATTTTCTTCTGACTTGTAGAGTTCATGTTCCGCAGACTCGGTGATTTGGATGAATTACTCTCTGCCGTCGTCCAGCAGTCATAGCAGTACGGCGGGATGCTCCTCTTCATCCAGCAGTCTTCCTGGTCCATCTACGGCCGGCATCAAGTCACAGTTGGTCGGTACGGTAAGTCACTGTCGACTGTTTATTTTGTTTATCGTTACAGACCACTGATTGTTTTGCTTGTAGAGTGTTCTCAGTGGCCACACTAGGCTCTGCCTTGTCAGCGATGATCCGAAACCGGAAACAACACCCAAGGTGAGAAGCGGAGACGTACCTCTGCCTCACCTCTCATGGGCGGACCGTGAGGATGTGTGGCACCAGATGTGCCTTAAAGACGTTGTATATTCCCGTGACCCTCACTACCTGCAAAACCACACAAGCCTGCAGCCACGAATGCGGTCTATTTTGCTTGACTGGCTGTCAGAGGTGAGTAGTCATCGTCGTCACCATTTTGTCATATCTTATCCTCCGCTTTTACACGCAGGTGTGTGAAGTTTACAAACTTCATCGAGAAACTTTCCACCTTGCTGTTGACTACACAGATCGATACCTGTCCAAGGAAAAGAACGTTCCAAAGAGTCGACTGCAGTTAGTTGGCATCACATCCCTGTTTATCGCCGCCAAGATGGAGGTAAGAATAGAAGTATCATTTTAAACACTAAGATGTACAATTTTTCATGTTCTTTTAGGAGATATACCCGCCTAAGTTGTCGGACTTCGCTTACGTTACCGATGGTGCCTGTTCAGAAGAGCTCATCATCGAACAGGAAATGCTCATGTTGAAGGTACTGCTCTGTGGCATTTGATTTTGTCCCCAGACAAACTGGCAATTTCACACGGCCCTTTCGCGTTTAGTGCCTACACTGGAAGCTGACTCCGGTGACTGTCAACCATTGGCTCATTGCTTACCTACAGATCCTGTGTCAGCACTACGAGAATGCCAGAGACAGACGGTACCGATCGGATGACTTCTTGTTCCCTAATTTTCAACGCCATTTCCTCTTGCGACTATCTCAGGTAACGTCAGTTCTTTGCGCAGCGATGCATCGACAGGCGCTCAGTTCCAGCTTTCTGTGCATCAAGTTTTTCCAGTACGGCACGGAAAATTTTTGGACTGATGATCATTCTATGTCCAGTCGGTACGGCGTTCGTCGTTCCTTCTAACTTCGTGTCTTTCTTTTCTACCAAATGTATGCATGTCAATTTTTGAGGTTTTCATTATTGTTGTCGTCATTTCCGCCTGAGTAGATTTTCCACAATAGCTTTAACATAGATCACAGTCTGCTATGACAAAATCATGGTCTCGACTTGGGCATTGATATCACAGCAAAATTTAACTTCCTCAGCACGATTAAATTTGCTTCCTCCTCTGTTTCCGTGTAATTTGCGTGTTAGATATGAACTTTGGGGTACATATTTTTGCATGCCTTTCATGTATTTAGTCTAGATAGGCTTTCTACGAATGACTATACCTCTGTTTTTATCATCTAGCTTTTATGCTGATCAACGAACAAGTAATTATGAAGGACATTTGTAGGTTTTGGATCTAATAACGAAAAATGGCTGCGCGTGTTCTATGTTGTGTAATGATCTATGACTCTAATGTGGTCTAGACAATTTACTTATTTATAAATATAACAAAATGTCATATATTGCTCAAATTGAAGCAAAGTAACGCATTTAAATTGCATAAGTAGTACCGGCGCATAGAGCGTAAGTCGTTTGAACAAAATATTAACCTAGGCCAAAGACATGCAAGATGCATCAAAGTGCTAAAATAGGATATAATCGTCTCCTGTTTAAACGTGCCACTATATGTCTAGAAATGACGTACCACGGAACATGCTTACGATGTAAATAAAGCAAAAGTTTATTTTCAGACCACCACGTAGTAAATAAATATTCCTTATGTTTCGTTGTCCTTATTTTCATATTCTTTTCCGTCTTTCTTTGCCTACCTCGACTGCATTCGCAGCTAGAGAACTAAGCTCCATCACACTGTTATGTAGCGTTTTTTGCCGTCATGTGAGTTTGTGAAAAATTTTAACAGCAGAGTTTTCTAATTTGCTTGCCTATGTGAGAAAGCTTACTGCAGAATTTCATTTTACTTTTGGCCTGTTTGAAAAGTCGTCCAGGCGTCGGTGTCTTAATTATTCTGTCAGTGATGTTGCATGCCGTATCATATTTTTATCGATTGGCGTCCCTTTAAGATTTTATATTTTTCAGCATCGTAACGATATTTATCTTCCTTCACCTTTAACCCTTGAGTTATTTTAAAAATGTTATGAAAGTAGTCATTCTCATTCCCAAAATATGGGACATGTTTTCTTTTACGTGCTTAGTTCTAAATGCTGCTGAATGCAGTGTTGATCACCACTGCGCGGTTCCTATGATTCCCTGCAGAAATCACGATTGCGGTAGTTCTTTGACTTTTTACCTCGAAAACATGATGAACTCAGGAA